AGTCTTTATATGAGGGCGCCTCCATCACCACGTATCTAGGTATGGTCAAAAAAATATGTGATGGTATCACCCAAATTGGGAGCTTAACATCAAACTTAAAAAAGTACTTTTGCCAAACTCTTAACAAAGCAGCCCTTATTATATGATTTCTAAAAGTTTTATCAATCTTTTTCTGCATAAAAAGATAAGCATGCCACCCTTAATTTGTGTTTCTAATCTGTTTTTTATGATACTGTTTTTGATAGGTTGGACTGTTTTTTCCCATTGTGTAAATACAGATGCAAAAAACGAGTTGAGTAGTTTTGCTTTCTCTCTGTTGCTTGTCACCTCCTTGCCACTTTCTCCCACTAGTGGACCAATTATTTCCTTAACCTTTTTCTTGTTTTTACATGTTGAAAGAAGCTTTTTTTTTTACTTTTGTTGCAAGCCTTAGTTCATTTTTAGCCTTAGCTTTCTCACTTCATCTTTGTAGACTCGGGCTATTTGCTGATATTCTGCCTTAGTTATGTGCCCCTCTTATATTTGTCCTTTTTGTCTTTCAATTTATGAGAGAGTTCTTTATTTAGCTATGCTGATTTCTTTTGAGAGCTTTTTTTTTCATCTTGGTTGGTATTGTGCTAGACTGGGCTTTTATAATCTCACTTTTCAAAATTTCCCAAGCTTCTTGAGTTGTTTTCCCCTCGAGGATTCTCATCCATGGAATCCTTCCCAAGCATTTTCTAAGTTTGTTGAAATTAGCTCTTTTAGTTTGACTGTGTTCTATTGCTCGTGCTTGCATAATGTTGAATTACAATACTGCACGATCACTCCTCCCCCCCCCCAGGTTCCTGTAGCGCTAACACCTTCTATCATTTCATCTCTGTTAATGAGAATTAAGTCCAATATGGTCCAACAGGAATCTGTTTGATCTTCCACTTGGTTCAGAGTTTGTCTCCCAGTTGATGTCAGGAGTGACATCATTGTGAGTGGAGCTGGGGAAGCACATTTTCTGACAGTTCTCTTTGGAGCAAGCAAGGTTGTGAACCTTTACCAAAGAGTTTACTTCATTCGCAGTGTAACCACCCATCTGAATGACTACATTTTACCAAGGAAAAGTTTGCTGAGAATTCTTTTCATGCATTGCTTGGTGAATGGTTTGTGGGGTGGGGTGGGGGGAGGACAAAATCAACCTCGGAACTGAGCCACAGTAGAAGATCTTTTTTATGTTCATGATTCCTGAATGCAAAATGGGTACAGTCATTTGAAAATTACTTTTGAAAATCTAAGATAATAGCTCTCAGGAAATGCGTGACCTTTGGCTGCTAATAGAGTAAAGAAAAACGTGCTTCTAATTATTCAGGTATAGGTCAAAACAAGGCCTTTGCTAATTTTACAGGAAATTACTTTTGTATTAATGGAACGAACTCTGCATTCTTTATCCATCCACCTCTCAACCTATTCCATTTTTTCTCACCTCACCTGAGGCCAGACAACTTCAGAACGGATGTTCTGACCTGGTTAAAAGCATTCCAGCAAATCGCTGTGATTTACTTAAGCCAATTTGACCTATTGGACCATAAAGTATATGCACAATCTCACCATACAATGCACTAATC